TAAGTTTTTATTTAAAGTACCTTTGATGGGGTGTGGCCTCTAAGATTAATAAATTTGCTCAGGGTCTCCTGATCAATAGTTTCTGGAATTTTTTAAACACGTGAGACTAAATCCAACCCTTGGTTGTCGAATTTCTATTCAATAGAGCAATTCGGATCTCTTTAATCGAATACCTTTTGGAAAAATCCACAAAAATATTGAGACACTTGTTCTTGACGAAAGCTTTCACAAGATGAACGAAATGGCAATACTTGAAAAGAGACTAACTTATGTCTAATCTAATTGGTAAACAAAGACAAAACATTTTAATTAAAAGTCTAGTTCTAGTACATTTCTTAGAACTGGTAGATGAATGAATGATTACTTAATTCATATTACTAATCATTCATTCTAATTGTCACTCAATAAAATGTTCCTTGAAATTTAAAAACATATTTTGGTCAGGTATTATCACCTCAAATTTTCTTCCAGATTCTTGAATGATTTTGACGTACTCCCTTGGAAGATAAATTTTGTCATATCTTCGTTTTCTCTTCTCAATAGCCGCAAAACACTTATCGCATGGCAGAAAGCTGTGGAATGGTTCAGGGAAGCGGTGGTATATTGATTTAAATTTTTTTGTTTCTACAAGTGTAAAAAGATACTCTGTCATGACCATATTTTTGTTTTGAGATGCACAGTTGTCCGAAAAGATGTATAGCTCAGTAACTTCTGGATTAATAATATTTTTAAAGAAATAATTTAGTAGACTGATGACTTCATTTTGTCCTTTTCCAGCAATGGTTTCATCATATAGAAAAAAATAACTTTTGCCAGTACTTGCCACAATAAATACAAAAGTTATAGACCCACATCTGTTGGTAATCAAATGTTATAACTTGTGAGCAGTAGTTCTAGACAGTTCTGATTTAAGTTCAAGATCTTCGTAGAAAGTTTGTACTTTCGCAACATGAAGCGATTTTTCTACCTGTAGAGTGTTTCTCTCATTTTCTGTTTCCGCGGAGTCAATTTGTTTAATCAGTTTGTCACATTTTTGACACGTGTCAGATTTTGGACTGCCGAATGTAATATTAAAATTTTCTGAGAAATATTTTCTAAAAAATTCATATTGCATCACAGGTTTAAAATTTTCATTCTTAAAATTAGCATTTCTTAAACACCTAACATCAGGCATGTTTAGGCTTTAACATCGTGAATAAAATAAAAACAATACATCTATTATCATAAAATATACAATTAAGGACAGACTTATAAATTAAAAAAACATTAAATAGATCAGTGTGTAAAATAAGCATTTCTTAAACACATAAAATCAGGCATATTTAGGCTTTAACATCGTGAATAAAATAACAATACATCTATTATCCTAAAACATACAATTAAGAACAGACTTATAAATTAAAAAAAACATTAAATAGATCAGTGTGTAAAATTAGCATTTCTTAAACACATAAAATCAGGCATGTTTAGGCTTTACCATCGTGAATAAAATAAAAACAATACATCTATTATCCTAAAATATACAATTAAGGACAGACTTATAAATTAAAAAAAAAACATTAAATAGATCAGTGTGTAAAATTAGCATTTCTTAAACACATAAAATCAGGCATATTTAGGCTTTAACATCGTGAATAAAATAAAAACAATACATCTATTATCCTAAAAGATACAATTAAGGACAGACTTATAAATTAAAAAAAAAACATAAAATAGATTAGTGTGTAAAATTAGCATTTCTTAAACACATAAAATCAGGCATATTTAGGCTTTAACATCGTGAATAAAATAAAAACAATACATCTATTATCCTAAAACATACAATTAAGGATAGACTTATAAATTAAAAAAACATTAAATAGATCAGTGTGTAAAATTAGCATTTCTTAAACACATAAAATCAGGCATATTTAGGCTTTAACATCGTGAATAAAATAAAAACAATACATCTTTTATCCTAAAACATACAATTAAGGACAGACTTATAAATTAGAAAAACATTAAATAGATCAGTGTGTAAAATTAGCATTTCTTAAACACATAAAATCAGGCATATTTAGGCTTTAACATCGTGAATAAAATAACAATACATCTATTATCCTAAAACATACAATTAAGGATAGACTTATAAATTAAAAAAACATTAAATACATCAGTGTGTAAAATTAGCATTTCTTAACCCATATAAGGCCAAAACTTTTTTTTTGTGTATTTATAATAATATTTTATTTTAACACTTATTTATGCCTACAAAATTAAAGTTTAAAAAAAAATGTGTCAAAAATATAATACTTTTTTCAAAAAAGGGTGTTCTTTTAAAAGGACGGTGGCATGATATCAGTGTAAAAAATTAAAAACGCAAAAAATTACAAACCTATTTTTTTATTTCTATTAATAACAAAAATCAAAGTAAAATAAATTAAATGCCTAATTCGTATGATATTCATAAAACCATTGTTTCGGATGCAGTGCAACATTACATTTCACGCAACAAAAGTTACATTTTTTGTGACACAGAGCACAACGTGTTTGAGTATCTTTATAGATAATAAGATGATTCATCCCGTGGTCTTTTTGAAGGATTCAAGAATGCCCACTGTAACTGAATGACGATATTGTAAATGATCCATTTTTCCACCTCCGATTCTATGTATATGCCAGGCGTTTTGTTCTGCCAAATCCACTATTTGGCTTATTATGGGAAAATACCATTTTTTGCCACGGATTGCAACGCTATAGTGGCTAATATTTTCATCGGCACGATCCACGCCACCCATGTTTTCATTATATTTTTTTATAAGATTGGGCTGGTTAACCAGCACCCTCTTTTTTTCCTTTTGGGAATATCGTTTTACCTGCTTTGTTGGATAGACAGAATTGTGGTTGGATATGATGGAAACGACATTATTATCATTCCATTTGCAAATGACGATTTCGCTGTCTTCAGCAGTACAATAGTCAAAAGAGCCTCGTTCTTTTTTTTTGAGGAGGTTTGAAGTCATAATATTACAGTCTTTGCCCAAGCGATTTTCCCTTATTGTACCTGTTCCTTTATATCCCCTTGATTTTAGCTCTTCCAAAAGTAGTATTGTAGTGAAATAATTGTCAAAATATATATCATAGGACAATTTGGGAGCCTTCTTCTCTAGGACATCAACAAATTGTAAGACAACACTAGCCCCCAAACCAAGATGTTTATATTTATCTGGAATAGTAGTAGAAGAGCCTTGATAGGGGTCAAACCACTCGACTTAACCTAGCCTTGTAGTCCCCATCCAGAATTTGTACCCCCATCGAATGGGTTTCCCACGGATAAACTGCTTGGTTCCATGTTTTCCATAATATGGAACCATCGACTCGTCTAAGCTATGATGTTCTTCTTGTGGTGCTAAATCGATAAATTTTTGATTCATTGCATCAATCAGAGGTCGAACTTTTGAAAATTTATCTTGCACATTTAAGTTTGCATTGTCACAGCAATGTATATTTTGCATAATAAATCTAAAACGGTTTCTGGACATTGCATTAGCTATAAGGTCATGTGTAGAATCCGGTGATTTTTCCCATAACATGTCTCGTCTAGGAACACTTATGTATCCACTATATAACAAAATTCCAATGAAACATTTCATTTCATTTCATTTATAGTTATATGGCCCTCACGATTATGTAAATTTGCATACATATTTGAAAAATCAACAAGCATCTGAATGATTGTATCATCAAAAAACAGAAAAAAGGTATCTAATGGAAAAAGAAGAATTTTTGGGCCATCTATCATACGCCACGGTACAAGCTTACTATTTATATCCCTCTTGATCCATTTATAGTTTTTGCGGCGTTTGATTGGCTCTTCTCGACGTTCTTTTTCACTTGTTGTAGAAGTCAGTTTATTTTCATTTTTTGACCTACTTTTTATTCTGTCCCACAATGGCATATCATCTTCATCTTCCCTATTGTCAGAATAAGTAGGTATATTTGAATCATTGACAACTATCTCTGCCTCCACGCGAAGTTGATTTCCTGGTAGGTTACCTATCTGAACAGAATCTTCATTACCGCTGTCCTCATCAGTCTCTTCGCCGTCATTGGGTGGAAAAATAACTATATCATCAGGAAGTTCCTCATAGGACATGTTTTCCATCTCGTCAATTACCTCGTGCAAAGTTAGAAGTCTGGTCCAGTACCTAAAAAGCTATATTGATGTATAACAGTGGAAAACGCCACCGTCCTTTATAAAGGACACTAAACTTTGAAAACGAATATTTTGACAATTATTATTTCTTCTACTAAAAGAAGTTTTTAAACATGGTATTAGAGGTATATTAAATACATAAATATAAATGTTTTCGAAATCCCAGGATTAAAACAATAAATTTTACTCACCTTCGATCCGCCATGTTCACAAACAATAAACAGCAAATTATTAAACCTCAATGAGTCAACACCACAAACCCGTTTTACAAAATGACTGTCAGAGATTAAAATCATACGGCTCTCTACTAGGCGAAACAGTAAGCGACATCTCTGAATCAGTAGCAGTATTACCACATGTTACGGGTCAGAAATTATTCTTACAGATAATTAACTGAAATAATTATAGGGGTTTACTGAATATTAAATAAATAAAAACTCACCTAAATTTGTAAATAATAATCAACAAGATTTATAGTTCTTTTTCCATTTATTAAAATTAACCTATACATATGTATATTGTTTATTTACATGCTAATGTCAAATCTTGACCATGACCTTGTAATAGTTCTTCTCTTCTTTATTAAGGTGTAACTTAATTAATTAGGTCAATAATTAACCTATTTATTGGCAGTTTAGTCATCTTAATCAGATACATCTATTTTATTGGTATCTGAGGTTTTATCTCTCTCTGGGTTCTCTGTCTTTTTCTTTTGGAGGTTGGTTTCTGGGCCATGTGGTCTAATTTAATTTAAAACGAATATTTCGGATTTTCTACCACCCCTGAAAAAGAATTACATCAAAATCATTTAAATAAGTATTGCTTTTAAAAATCAGGACGATTTTTTATTACACACAAAGTGGATTGGCGATACTTAATAAAAAAAAGGCCCTACCTTATTCGGCCTAATACGTATAATACGTATAATACGTGTAATACATATAATTCTTATAGTAATTACAGTACTTCCAGTAATTATAGTACTTATATAAGCATATTATTATTGCTATCCCTTCCATTGATATCACCCGCATGGCAAGGTTCTTCTAGGCTTAATACAACTGCTTAGTAGCTGCTTTCTGGCATTTATTTGGAATATCGCAGTGCTGCCTGTGGCCCATCGATAGATCCAGGAGGCTTCGAGAAAGCAAGTAAGATCTTTCCATTTCACTATCTAACTGCTTTAACAAAAACCCGCTGCTTTTCACAAGACCACACACACCTTAAAAGGAAAACAAATATTGAGTTATTATATATCATAAATATTTATTCTAGTGACTATCTAACAATTTACATAAAGATTACAATAAAAGGATATTTGTACTCACCTTCTCCCTGTAAACAAGTAGTACTACTTGGGCTTGAGGGGTATCATTCTGGCTAAGACCCATGTAGTAAATATATACTTTTCACCAAATATTAATTGATATTCTTAGTGATACACCAGATTGTATAAAAGACACGTTGTATATAATATTTCCTGTAAAGTAAGACATAACAGTCATTTGGGTAAGAACGTTAGTAAAAACTTTTGTAAATAGAGTTACCTGATTTAATTTTCCACGTCCCAACTCTCCGGATGAAATATATAACCTGAGCTAGCTTATATAAAATTTCACCCCCTATCAGACGAGGGAGTAACATAATAAATTGGCGCCCAACGTGGGGCATGCTTAAAGTGGCATTTTCGCCAGGTTTTCCTTTATATTGGTTGGTGGTCTTGTTAGGCTCCAATCCATAGAACTGCAATACAACGCCAATGTAAGCAAGGTCAGCATATCTAGCTTGGTGAACAGGAGTCTTAGATAAGCTACAGAATCTGTTATAGATAATATGAGCTACTAATTCAGCAACCGCCTGGAATTGAGAGAACGGGATCATGTCCATCAGATAATCAACGTCAACTCCCTTAGTTCGTGACACAATATCAGCTAATGCTGTGGCTGGAGCGATGTTCTGAGCAGCTGACTGTTCTACTATCCACATCAGGGACTTGAAGTTATTATTCTCAAATAATGTGTATGAAGCCAGTAAAGCACCATACACATCCTCCTCAGACATTACATCACGGGGATATGTGTTGAAGAATTTCAGAATCAACTCTGGTGATAGGAGAGCAGCTAAGTTAGTAACATTAGCCTCAGTTTCGAGACGAGCTGCTCTAGAGTTGACCCAAGCATCGGTTACTGAACCTCCCCGACATAATGCAGTGACATATAATAAACTTGCTGCTGTAGAGAACCTAGCATTCTCACTAGCACGACTAATGGCCTTAATCTCCCAAAACACCAGTCTTGAGGTATCAGATAATGCAGGCCATTCCTGGCGAATTCGGGCCTCTGATGTTGAGATATGAGCAACAAGACTATTAGTTTCTACGACGTCTCCGTTCAAGGTCTGGAGATTAGTGTATGTTTCATGTTGTTTAAAATCGATAGAATCATCAATAAGAGAGGGAGGTAAATGATAAATGTTGATGGCAGCTAGCATGGCTTTTTGCTTACTTATGGCACTTGGCCATGCTTGGTCAAGTTCATAAGCTTTAGTGAGAGTTAGCATTTCCAGAGGATCCAATATGTTAATGACAGTTTTGTATCTATCAGCCAGATCAGCGATGTACAGATACACATTGATGACATCGTCAACGCTTGGCACATTAACACGGATTAGGTTGTTGATCTTGACTTGTGCTGCTACTTGATGACCAATGGAAGTGCGATCCTTAACTGACCAGACTGGGACTATGGATCCGTATCTACAGAGATCTCTACTCAATGGGTCATTGGAACCGGTTGACTTCACTTTAGCAATTAGGTCGGCTATCTCGGTTATAGCGTCAATCCTTAGCCAGGCTCTAGTTCTTGTCTCGTCATAAGCAAGCAATGATCCCATAGCAACAGGAATGCTGTAATCATGGAGTGTGTCTCCTTTATTGACATGCTCCAGCTAGCTTATATAAAATTTCACCCCCTATCAGACGAGGGAGTAACATAATAAATTGGCGCTCAACGTGTAATAAATTTGCTTCAACCGTGGTATATTTATTTTTAAAGGGTGTGTGGTTATTTTCGGCATTTTCTTTGCAATTATTAAACATTTTCATATTTTTTTGGTTGACTTCTGTCAAATTCTGTCAATTTAGAATTTTTCGTATACACTGTCGAAAGTCAAATTATGAATTCTTCTTTTTGTGTCTTGGCCTCTTACTTTGAATAGACATAGATAAACAGTGCTCGCAGGATTGGACAGTTGCATGTTATTTAATATTAATATTAAGGAGTAAACATATACTAGGTGATTTTTAAGTGGATAGGTATACAAAATACTTAGAATTAGAAAGAAAAAGATTAAATATACTTATAGTATGTTAGTAATTATTATTGGTAAGCTATTGTAGAATATTAAACTAGTGTTTTCATTGGGAGTTGTATATATTAAATTTGATACCATGTTAAACTGGTATTGTACATATTGTATATATTATAAATATAGTATAGACAGCTGTAAATAGTCAGTTGGTATATGATAGTGGTTCATTTAGTCTATCCAAGAAATAAATATAGTTGGATTGCGTTGTCGAACATTTCTTGTCGATTATTGGGTATTTTTGTAGTATATTTGGACATACTTGCAGTTTTTTTTTATTTTTTTTAGAAAATATTTAGGGAGGCGATAATTTGCTTAAAATATTTTCTTTTCATTTCGTTTGTTTACTTAGTAAAGACTCGGATCTTCGAATTAGGAGTATATATAAGTAGATAATAGTTTTTTTTGTTATTTATAAGGATATTTAGTAAGGATACAGACTGATATTTCGTTATCAAGTATTCTTTTAGTTTAGGTGTTTGTCTGCCAGTGGGATTTTGGTATTGTAACATTTAGTAAGGACTTAAATAAAAATTAATATTTTTGTTTATTGTTTTGTTTATTCCATTTTAAAAAAAAATGGATGTACATCGATTATTAGGTGATGAACTAACCTACGAGTTACAGATAAGAGGTTTTCCTATAGGTGGTACAGTCAAACAGAAGAGGGATACTCTAAGAGGGATTCTTACTGAAGAACGCTTAGGGAATTCTTACCCTCCTGTAGAAGTAAATATTGATCCTGGATATGAATTTTCGGTTTGTGAAGGTAAACTTGCAGATATGGATGACAGTGTTAACAATTTTGATGTTAATAATGCTAAAACGGAATTTAGGCGAATTTCTAGTCGCTTGTTGCATTTAAAATCACGTTTGAATAGGGTTCGTTGCTGTAATAGTGATCTTCAAGCAGTACAGGACAGTATGTTAAGTTGGTGTGAAACGCTTAAGGTAAAATTAAACGAAGTATATCAAAGGTCTCAAAATATGGAGGAAAATGTATCAGCAATAAACTGGACGTTATTGGATACACCCAATACGCTTCTACCTGATAGGATTCAATCTAGTCATTCTGAAAATGGGAGAAATGGTACAGATGTTGAACAAGTACTAGTAGATGTTGACGGAAATATTGATCACTCAACGAATGGGAATGGTGAATCAAACTCAACTATGCTCGAGCGAAACGAATTGCAAACTCACCCAATTAGTTCTAATAGAGTATCAAGTTTGCGTGAGAGGTTTGAAAGAATATCTGTGGCTCAAGATACAATCCGTGACCAAGCATCTACGAGTAGATCTCTGCCAGTGAGATCAGATGTGCAAGCTCCTGATGATTTATTCCAGCACTATTCGGTTAGGGCTAATTCAACTTTGAACTCCCCACCCAGATTCTAGAATCCAACAATTTAGCTCTTCTGGGCCAAATCATATAAATTTTCAGTTGCCAAATTTTGTTTCTGCTTCAACATTACCTGTACAGATGCGAAATGTGCCTTTATCTAACCCTAATCATCCGCTACCACAAACTAGTACGTTCATTACTCCAACTCCATTTCAAGACAATAATTCCTATTACTATGAGGTAAGTAGATGGAAGGTTCAGTATGATGGCCTGTCCAGTGTTACAAATTTTTTGGAAAGGGTGGAGGAACTGAGGTTATCTCGAGGGGTATCGAAAGATAGGCTTTTGAGGTCTGCAGCCGAACTTTTTACAAAAGATGCTTTATTATGGTTTAGAATGAGCAATTTTTCCTCATGGGACGAACTTGATAATAAATTAAGGCCGCATTCCAGCCACACGACTATGAGTATTCTCTCTGGGAGGAGATACGCCGACGCACACAAGGTTTACACGAACGCGTAATTAATTATGTATCCGTCATGGAAAGTTTATTTAAAAAGCTTTCTAGCCTTCCTTTGGAATCACATCGAGTAGAACTTATAAGAAGAAATATGCTCCCGAACATACAAACACACTTAGCTCTTCATCCAATTGCTAATTTATCTGAATTGATTAGGCTTGCTCGTGCTGTAGAGGAAACTGACTGGCGAATCCAGAAGTTTCAACCCCCACCTTCTAATATTAAGAATTTATTGGAACCTGAATTGGCATACCGAAAACCTGTTGGGTTAAATGTTTCAGCCATGTGCGAAGATAGAAATGTTGCGGTAGCTCCAGTTAGTAATACGGCAGCTCCGGTTTGTTGGAACTGCTCAAACACTGGGCATCGGTTTAACAAGTGTTCAGAACCTAGGCGTAGGTTTTGTTTTAAATGTGGTAAAGGGGGGAGTAATAGCGACACAATGTTGTCAAAAAAATGCGAAGAGGGGACAGAATTAGGTCGGAAACTGTTCTCTGCTCTGACTCCGACCCATTTTGCGAGTAAAGCGGTTGTTGATTATGTTATATCACACGCTAAAGATGATAATCGTCCTTATCTTAAAGTGAGATTTTTGAAAGAATATTTTTAGGTCTCTTAGATAGTGGGTGTACTACTACTGTAATGGGTGCTCCAGGATGGGATGTGTTAGGTTCTATTTGTAACATTCAGTCTTCTTCACAGAAATCTTGCACAGTCGCGAATGGGGATAAATGTAATATCGAGGGAGTGGTTTCAATCCCAATTAGTTTAATAGGTAGGACTAGGGTCTTTGATGTGTTAATTGTGCCATCCCTACCCCATCAGCTCATTCTTGGTGTCGACTTCTGGTGTCGTATGGAAATAGTTCCAGATCTTCATGCGGGGGAATGGTGTTTTCGGCCTGAAGGAGAAGTGTCCGATGTAGGATTGTGTTCTCTTCAGGATGCTGATCATCTTTCCTCGGATCAAAAACGTATTCTAGATAATCTCGTAAAATCAACATTTAAGAGCATGAGTGGGACACTGGGATGTACACATATGGTTGAACATGTTATCCGAACCAACTCTTCCCCAATCAAGCAACGTCACTACCCACTCAGTCCTGCATTACAAAAAGAGGTAAATTTAGAGCTCGATCAAATGCTTAAGAATGGCATTGTTGAGCCAAGTAATAGTCCATGGGCTTCACCCATCGTATTAGTTAAAAAACCAGATGGTCGTTATCGGTTTTGTGTGAATTATAAGAAACTGAACGAAGTTAGTTTGCCTGACGCATATCCTCTTCCGTTTGTAAATTCGACTCTTGATAAATTGCGAGATGCAAGGTACTTAACAACACTTGATATTAAGAGCGCATATTGGCAGATTCCTATGGCCGAAAGTTCGAGACCTATGACTGCCTTTGTAGTGCCAACTAGAGGCCTATATCAATTTAAAAGAATGCCCGTTTGGGTTACATAATGCCCCTGCGACCTGGCAAAGATTTATCGATCGGGTGATTGGTATTGATTTAGAACAATATGTTTTCGTGTACTTAGACGACGTCGTTATTGTACTAACTCGTTTGAAAAACATATTAAAGTTTTGAAAGAAGTACTTAGACGTATTTGTCAGGCTGGGTTAACGTTGAATCAGGATAAATGTTGCTTTTGTAAACCTGAATTAAAGTACTTAGGATATGTCGTTAATGCAAAGGGCTTGCTGGTGGATCCAGAGAAAGTTGAGGCAATTCTTAGAATACTTCCTCCCAAAAATGTCTCCGAGGTGAGACGCATAGTTGGATTGGCCTCCTGGTACCGAAGATTTGTTCCAAACTTCTCGGATTTAACCTCTCCTCTGTGTAATCTTCTTAAAAAGAATTCCAAATTCGTGTGGGATGAGTATTGTCAGAAAGCCTTGGATAACCTGAAAAATCATCTGGTTTCTGCTCCAATTCTCTGTTGTCCAAATTTTGATTTACCTTTCGTCATCCAAACGGACGCCTCAGATTTTGGTTTGGGTGCAGTTTTAAGCCAACAACATGAAGATGGGGAGAAGGTAGTCTGCTATCTTAGTAGATCTCTCACTAAAAATGAAAGGCGATTTAGTACTACCGAAAAAGAGTGTTTGGCGGTCATATTTGCCATTGAGAAATTAAGACCCTATATCGAGGGGACCAAATTTACTGTTATAACGGACCACTACAGCCTCAAATGGCTATATAATATTAAAGATCCGGTAGGCAGAATAGCCCGGTGGGCGGTCCGCTTGCAACAGTACAATTTTGCATCGAAAAGGCAAAGAGCATGTTGTACCTGATACTCTTTCTCGTTCAGTTCCAAGCCTTAATGTTGTAAACGTTCCTTCCGATTTACCTCCTCAATCTCAAGACAAATGGTACCTGCGAATGTTATCCTCTGTCGCAGATAATTCATCGAAATATCCGTTGTGGCGAATCCAATCGGGCATCTTGTATAAAAGAGCAAACTTGAGGTACCCTGATCTTAGGAGTCCACAGGAAGATTGGCTAAAAGTTGTTTCAAAGGACCAACGATCACAAGTAATCAAGGATAATCATGATCCTCCAGAATGTGGTCATTTAGGTATTCACAAGACTCTGAGTAGAATAGCTTCTAAATATTATTGGCCGTTAATGAAATCGGATATTGCCCGTTATAGGACGTGGGATAAGTTCCTACCGAAAGTCGCTTGGGCATTGAGATCAGCTAAACATGAGGTGACCGGAGTTACTCCTAATCTCATCATGTTTGGGCGAGAGCTCAATATTGATGGTTCATCTGGTCCAACTCCCACTGATCCCATCCAAATCGATAGGTCTACTGAAATTTCAATCCCCAACAAACCATTACAAGATCTTTTCAGGGATGTTTCTGATAGGCTTAAAAAGGCTTACACTAGCAGCCAAAAGATTTACAATCTTCGACGTCGGGAAGATAAACTTCAGGTTGGCGATATTGTCTGGAAAAGGAATCATGTTCTTTCCGATGCCATCAAAAATTTCACTTCCAAGTTAGCACCTAAATTTGCAGGTCCATACACGGTACGAAAGATCGTGTCGCCATGGACATATGAGTTGGATGATGAAATAGGGAAAACGGCTGGTGTTTGGCACATCAAGGACCTTAAGTCTAAACCACCCGATGAGTAGAGAGCGGTTAATTGTATCTATGGTTGATTTACTTTTAGTTCTTGGTATAGTACATTGGCAATAAGTTGTTTTTTTTTTAATTTACCCAAGTGACCATACTCTAAGATAGTAAGTTTGCTGCGTTATCAAGTTTTTTTTTTTTGTTCATTTAGAAAAAAAAAACTTTCTTCTGGAAAGAGGGGTGTGTTACGGGTCAGAAATTATTCTTACAGATAATTAACTGAAATAATTATAGGGGTTTACTGAATATTAAATAAATAAAAACTCACCTAAATTTGTAAATAATAATCAACAAGATTTATAGTTCTTTTTCCATTTATTAAAATTAACCTATACATATGTATATTGTTTATTTACATGCTAATGTCAAATCTTGACCATGACCTTGTAATAGTTCTTCTCTTCTTTATTAAGGTGTAACTTAATTAATTAGGTCAATAATTAACCTATTTATTGGTAGTTTAGTCATCTTAATCAGATACATCTATTTTATTGGTATCTGAGGTTTTATCTCTCTCTGGGTTCTCTGTCTTTTTCTTTTGGAGGTTGGTTTCTGGGCCATGTGGTCTAATTTAATTTAAAACGAATATTTCGGATTTTCTACCACCCCTGAAAAAGAATTACATCAAAATCATTTAAATAAGTATTGCTTTTAAAAATCAGGACGATTTTTTATTACACACAAAGTGGATTGGCGATACTTAATAAAAAAAAGGCCCTACCTTATTCGGCCTAATACGTATAATACGTGTAATACATATAATTCTTATAGTAATTACAGTAATTATAGTACTTATATAAGCATATTATTATTGATATCACCCGCATGGCAAGGTTCTTCTAGGCTTAATACAACTGCTTAGTAGCTGCTTTCTGGCATTTATTTGGAATATCGCAGTGCTGCCTGTGGCCCATCGATAGATCCAGGAGGCTTCGAGAAAGCAAGTAAGATCTTTCCATTTCACTATCTAACTGCTTTAACAAAAACCCGCTGCTTTTCACAAGACCACACACACCTTAAAAGGAAAACAAATATTGAGTTATTATATATCATAAATATTTATTCTAGTGACTATCTAACAATTTACATAAAGATTACAATAAAAGGATATTTGTACTCACCTTCTCCCTGTAAACAAGTAGTACTACTTGGGCTTGAGGGGTATCATTCTGGCTAAGACCCATGTAGTAAATATATACTTTTCACCAAATATTAATTGATATTCTTAGTGATACACCAGATTGTATAAAAGACACGTTGTATATAATATTTCCTGTAAAGTAAGACATAACAGTCATTTGGGTAAGAACGTTAGTAAAAACTTTTGTAAATAGAGTTACCTGATTTAATTTTCCACGTCCCAACTCTCCGGATGAAATATATAACCTGAGCTAGCTTATATAAAATTTCACCCCCTATCAGACGAGGGAGTAACATAATACACATTTCAGGTATTTATAAGGTGTACTTTTAAAAGAACGGTGGCCTTATCTGGGTTAAACACATAAAATCAGGCATATTTAGGCTTTAACATCTTGAATAAAATAAAAACAATACATCTATTATCCTAAAATATACAATTAAGGACAGAGTTTATGGCTCTAGCTCAGTCTCTTCCACAGAAATTACATTTTTAATTACTGGTTCAAACGCATCCAATGGGGTCGAGTGTGTCTCTAAGGACGATTGTGGCTTTCGCAAACTTGGTTGCTAGTTAACAGTATTCTAGAAATAATATTTTCTTTTTTTCCATAAATAATGTCTAATTCAGCCTCGAAGTTAAAATTTTTTCGACCTCGTCCAGTCTTTATGTTGCATTAACAAATTTTTTGTATGATCGGTCGACCACCTTCCATTTATTTTCGCACTTTTTGGGTACAATTGTTATTTTATACAAATTTGATATTTCTCGTGCAATTATTTTCCACATTTGCTTTTATTAAGTCTAATAAAGCTCTTGTTCTCTCTACATTAAAAAAATGACCTTCACATAACATTAGGCATGTTTAGGCTTTAACATCGTGAATAAAATAAAAACAATACATCTATTATCCTAAAATATACAATTAAGGACAGGCTTATAAATTAAAAAAAAAAACATTAAATAGATCAGTGTGTAAAATTAGCATTTCTTAAACACATAAAATCAGGCATATTTAGGCTTTAACATCGTGAATAAAATAACAATACATCTATTATCCTAAAACATACAATTAAGGATAGACTTATAAATTAAAAAAACATTAAATAGATCAGTGTGTAAAATTAGCATTTCTTAAACACATAAAATCAGGCATATTTAGGCTTTAACATCGTGAATTAAATAAAAACAATACATCTATTATCCTAAAATATACAATTAAGGACAGAGTTTATAGCTCTAGCTCAGTCTCTTCCACAGAAATTACATTTTTAATTACTGGTTCAAACGCATCCAATGGGGTGGAGTGTGTCTCTAAGGACGATTGTGCCTTTCGCAAAACTTGGTTGCTAGTTAACAGTATTCTAGAAATAATATTTTCTTTTTTTTTCATAAATAATGTCTAATTTAGCCTCGAATTTAAAATTTTTTCGACCTCGTCCAGTCTTTCTGTTGCATTAACAAAATTTTTGTATGATCGGTCGACCACCTTCCATTTATTTTCGCACTTTTCGGGTGCAATTGTTATTTTATACAAATTTGATATTTCTCGTGCAATTATTTTCCACATTTGCTTCATCGATTTGATTTCTGCTGTACCTACCTTTGGTTTGTTTGTTTTTATTAAGTCTAATAAAGAAAGCTCTTGTTCTCTCTATATTAAAAAAAATACCTTCTGATTTGTAAGTAATTTTATTTATATTTAAAAACTCGCTCAATTTACTTTCTGTACGAAAAAATGTACAAACTGATAATATACCTTGGTCCAGCCTATGTTGTACTTAGGGTCAGTTATAGAAAAATAAGAAATTAGCAAATATTTTGCAAATTTTTATTTGAGAACGCAAAATAATCAAAAGATTAATGAAAATAAGTAATAATAGTAACAACACAAAAGAACTAATCCTATTTACGGAATAACAAATAAAAAAAATATTTTCAAAAAACAAAATTCTAAGGAGTATATAAACTTATTTTACTTTATATTCACTAAACTGAAAATTAAACTGCAATTGCGCAACGACGTGCAGTTCCGCTTATTATCTGCGGCTGTGGAAGCTTACTTACAATATCAGAGCGCAAAAAATTATAGGTTTCGGTTGAATCATTAATAAACTTATTGGAATCTGAAACAGCGTAAATATTTTTGTTCGTTATATTTCTCGCAGTATATGATTTTCGAAACGTAATAAATAAAAAATTTTACGTTTTTTATCACGTCAGTTTCAGATCATTCATATAATTTTTGGGTATTACAGAAAATTTTAGAAACTTCTGTACATGATCAAGATTTACCATTACCTCTGATATCTTATTTGCTTGAGCAGCATATTTTACTTTATAATTAAGATACAAGATATTTATTACCCCTCAAATATATAAATAAATAACCCCTCTTATAATGAAAAAAAAAAAAAAAATGAAATTGGACAATGTGGCACATAAAAAAGTGACAAATCCACAACCCCCTCCTTTTAAAAATAATTATTTTATTTTTTGACACGGTTGCACGTTTGTGCAATGACTGCATTATTTAAAATCAGCCCAATCGTTTCTGAATATAATAGGTTTGTTTCCAATTAGATGTTACGATTAGTTTGCAATTAGTACTTGAACTGACCTGAGCGTATGTCATACATGAACTACGTTACAAATTAGTAAAGTTTTGTTCCTTTGGGAACGCTTGTAATGGAAATTGCATGAATGACATTAGAGGTTGGATAAATTGTCCGCTGGATATAGTCCCCGAAAAAAAGAAGAAGAAAATATTAAGAGGTTATGTTTATGTTGTTGTTAAGAGGTTATGAGCATAGAAAGAATTAGATTGTTTTCGAGGATAGTCTGGATAGTTTTAATTTTTACCGATGACTGAAGGTAAGTAGACACCAACAAATATTGAAAAATATATTTATATTTAAATATGGCAAGGATTTTACTAAAATTTTTCTTTCAGAATCACAAAACGTTATTATTTTATCTGCACCTGCAGATAATTATTTTCCAACTTCCACTATAGAAAGATAGACCACCAACAATACAAAAACACTATTGGATTTGTACGCTAAATATAAAAAACAAGTTGGTACAATGCGAGTAAAAAGTGTTAAGCATATGTGGCTTAAAATATCGGAGGAATTAAGTCAAATTTTAAAAATCTCTATAACTCCAAGTCATTGTGAAAACCGATGGCGAGTACTCAAAAAAAAAATAATAATAAGAAATATGTCGAAAATCAGAATGCAACTGGACGAGGTAAGAAGTTTTTTGAATATTCGGAAGAGATGGAAAGTATTTTAGGGAAGAAAAAGAATATTAGACCTCAAACCATTCTTGAAAATAACACAATAGATAATATTGAAGCTGAAATTAATAATATTCCCGAAATTGAGCCCGAAACAGAAAATATTATACCAAAAACAAGTTCTGTACCTAAAAGTAAATCTGAAATTATAAAAAACAAAAGAGTTAAACGAATAAGCAATATTGAACAGATGCCAATAGATAGAAAACAATATTTTGAGAAAAAAATTAAATTAGACGAACAAAAATTATTGGAAATAAAAAGAAAAAATGAACTTATACAAGAACGAAACCAATTAATAAAGGAACAAAACGAAATATTGAAAGTAAAGGAGTGTGTTGGCAGCCTAAGATACATTTTTATAAGTATTTGCTTTCATACATTAAAATAATTTTTTTTGTAGATAGAAGATTTTTTGGTTGAAGAATTTTTGTGTTATTAGATTCTTTATTAAGAAGAATTTTTGTGTTATTTGTTATTAGTTTTCTTTATTTAAATGTGCAAATAAAGTTTATTTATATTATCTGTTAGTTTTCTTATACAAAAATCTATAAGAGGCAAAAAATTAAAGAAAGGTATATTAAAAAAATTAAAAGTAATCAAAAAAGAATATATATTTTTTTATCAAAGTTTCAACGTATTTACAATTTGATCTCTTATAACTCTTGCATCATGCTCAATATCTTCCTCTTCATCATTAGTTTCATCGTCAATAACATTTACATTTATATCAGGTTCATTGTCATTTAAAACAAATTCATCAGATAAAGCTATGAATAACATACATGGCTCTAATAAAATGAACAATAAATCTTATATTTCTTGACTTGATATGATAGAGCTGCCTAAATTTCTGTTTTAAAACACCAAAGCAGTGTTCCATTACATATCTCTTTCTTTCTATCTATCTTTCTACTGTAACGCGACTGTAACTATCCTATCGTACACTCTGATTCATCATTCGTTTCTTGCAATGATCTACACCAGTTTAAACCAGAAAATAGCACTTAACGAAGCGTTTTAGCCACTAATTTCGGCGAATTTTTAAAAATCATTAACAAGTGATTATTAACTTAAATTTAGGGATTATATTAAGAATAGTGCTGTTAAGGAATGCATTTATTTTCATTATGATATTTCAAAATTTAAAGCCCTTTGATTTTTTTTTCTTGGAAACTGGAAGGAACTAAAAATTTTTTAAAAAAATTACTTTTTGAGATATGCTTGTTCGAAAATTATAAGGGGTGCTGTAATCACCTTAAGTAACTTGATAATTTGGATTTGAAAAAAAAAACAAATTTGAAAAAAGATATTTTAACTTTTAACCATATATAGGGTGTACCAAACCTTCAGGTTTGAAAACAAGTAAATAAGTATATGCAGTTTTTATTACTACAATAAAATATAATAATAATATTAATAATAATAATTATGATAAAAAATAATTCATAATTCTGATAAAAAATAAAAAATAATTCTAATAAAAATTAAATAATCTCATAAAAATAAATAATAATTCTGATAACAATAAATAACTAATAATTCTAATAAAAAATAAATATTAATTAAAATAAAAAGAAAACAAATAATTCAGTAGTCTTGTATTTGACAATCCTTGTAACGGGATGTCCAAACCACTGCACTGACTCTAGAATTTGACACATGCCACCTTGCTAAATCTCTACTTTCATTTTAGCAGTTAGTGAAGTGTATTTCCTTAGGTTATTTTTGTTTTTATTATTATTACTTTGTAAATATTTTATTTAATAGTATTTATAAAAAGAAAAATAACCTAAGAAATTACAGCACAATAACAAACCACAAATGAAAGTAGAGATTTGGCTAGTCTCAAATTCAAATTCTAGACATCAGTGCAGAGCAGCGCGGACATGCACATTACAAAGCCTATCAACTACAAGATTACCAAATAATTCTAATATTTACCAGTCTTATTTTGAGATCTATAAAAAACTCCATATACAGGGTGTTTCCGAACTTGGCATCCAAGTTTGTAGGGGTGGTAGTTCACATAATTTGAGACCGATTCGAAGATTTCATTTTTTCAAAATATTTAAAATAAAAATAATTAAAAATTATAAACCGGCACGGTCCTGCACAGCGATAGGATCGCGCTATGCTTAGAATCAACAAAACTGCAAATCGCATCGGTTTTTGAGGACTATTGCGCTACGCGCTCAGGGTAGAACCTGCTCTTTGACTTTTTTATAATGGCTCTATTTTGTTTATTATAATTTTTTTTAGAAAAATGAAATCTTCCAATCGCTCTCAAATTATGCGAACTACCACCCCTACAAATTTGGACGCCAAGTTCGAAAACTGTATCTAAGAAAAAAAATCAGTCTAAATTCTCATTTACGTTTGTTTTAAAATATTTATGTATTCCTTGAATAGGTTTGTTCGTCTAACCCTATTTTCGTGTTTCTTTTTATTTAACTCTAATTTCTCCTTTTCTGTTCGGTTTTTTTTCTGTATAATGATTTTTTAATCAGAATTTAATTTCGCCTTCTATAGGCTGGCGTAATATTTCTTCTAGATCGCTTTCTTGTAGGATTTTCAGTTTGGCGGAGTGCTACATTGTGAATAAAATAAAAACAATACTTCTATTATCCTAAAATATACAATTAAGGACAGACTTATGAATTAAAAAAACATTAAATAGATCAGTGTGTAAAATTAGCATTTCTTAAACATATAAAATCAGGCATATTTAGGCTTTAACATCGTGAATAAGATAAAAACAATACATCTATTATCCTAAAATATACAATTAAGGACAGACTTATAAATTAAAAAAACATTAAATAGATTAGTGTGTAAAATTAGCATTTCTTAAACACATAAAATCAAGCATATTTAGGCTTTAACATCGTGAATAAAATAAAAACAATACATCTATTATCCTAAAATATACAATTAAGGACAGATTTATAAATTAAAAAAACATTAAATAGATCAGTGTGTAAAATTAGCATTTCTTAAACACATAAAATCAGGCATATTTAGGCTTTAACATCGTGAATAAGATAAAAACAATACATCTATTGGTTGAATGTGTTTCAACCTAAATTGTAGTTTCGAATGGACTGTATATTGAAAAAGGGAGAAATAATATTGTACTTTGTATTTGATGTTTATTTGACAAAAAGTAATGAAATGTATATCAATGACAATCTCTATGTTCAGTGGCGGAACAAGTATGTGGGTAAAAGGAACACAACAAATCTGCAACATACTGCCCGCCTTGAAAGAATTAACTTTCAATACTTCAAAATAACAAAAAACATTTGAAGAGTTACAAAAGAAAACAAAATAATACATTAATTTACATAAAGTGTCTTGAGATATAAAAGCGTTAAATATTTTAATAACAAAAATATTAAGAAGGGTCGATAGGCAATAGACACACTTTGTTAACTGCACGTTTGTAAAGTCCATCTGCAGTTTTAACTGAAACGACTCGAACTATCTTGTCAGTGCCTGGATGCAAATCTACAATTCTACCCATTTTCCAATGGAGAGGAGGGAGATTATCTTCCTTTACGAGAACAAGTTGATTTCGTTGAAGATTTGGCTTTTGGGCTTTCCACTTGGATCGATTTTGAAGATGAGTGAGATATTCGGAAGACCATCTTCTCCACAGATGTTGGTAGAGATATTGGATGTGGTTCCAGCGATCTAAACGATTGATTGGGACATCTTTGTAATTGGGCTCTGGACTGCTTGTAAGAATCTCCCCAATTAGGAAATGTGCTGGAGTAAGAACTTGAAAATCGGTAGGGTTCTCGGACAAAGGAGTGAGTGGCCTGGAGTTTAAGATCCCTTCTGATTGAATTAAAAATGTAAGGTACTCTTCGTAAGTAAAAACTGCATTTGCTGTGATTCGTCTTAAATGGTGCTTTAATGACTTTACGGTCGCCTCCCACAATCCCCCAAACGTTGGTGATCTTGGTGGAATAAAGTGCCAAGTTATGGTGTTATTTGATGAATAGTCTGTAATTTTATTCCAATGTTGTTCTGAAGACAGAAGACTTAGTTCTTTTAACGTTCTATTAGCCTTGACGAAGTTGGTAGCATTGTCAGAAAAAATGTCTGTGCATTTTCCACGCCGAGCCATAAAACGTTTTAGAGATGACAAAAATGCTTCAGTTGTTAGGCCAGAAACAAGTTCCATGTGAACTGCCTTGGTAGATAGGCAAACAAATATTACTATATAGCACAAGTATGTATTAACTCTTCCACGTCTACGACTTTCTCGAATTGAAACTGGACCTGCATAATCAATGCCTACCTTTAAAAATGGACGATATTGGTTGACTCTGTATTGGGGTAAATCTCCCATTACTGGAACTTGCGTAATTGGCTTTAATCTTGAACATATCAGACATTTGTGAATAACTTTTCGTATGGCATTTCTTGCTGAAAGAGGCCAATATTTTGATCTAAGTGATGCAAGTACTGTTTGATGACCAGCATGTAATAAGGAAATATGTTCATTACGAATTATTAATTCTGTTAATTTGTGAGATGATGGAAGGAGAATAGGATGTTTCTGATTAAATGGAATTGTTGCATTTTTTAATCGTCCTCCAACTCTAATTATATCATGATTATCTAAAAAGCAGGATAATGGTAATAATTTACTTTTAACGTGTAATGGTTTCTTTTTCTGTAAAGACTTAAGTTCTTCTGGAAACGACTGTGCTTGAGTGATTTTTATCAATGTCATAAGAGAATTGTGAAGTTCAGTTGCGCTTAGGTGACCCTTGTGTTTACTTTTAAAACGCAACAAATATGCGGTGACACGTTTAAGTTTGCTTAGTGTAGAATACTTCTCAAAAATATTAAATTTTGTAATTTCCAAATCAGTAGTTAGATGAGAAAGGACTTTGATTGTTCTCTTTTCTTCTTTGGTTTCTATTGAATGGGCCTTACCTTTTGGCCAATATAAAGCATCCTGCTGCAACCAAGGAGGACCGTACCACCACAATGTATGTTTGAGAAATTGTTCTGGTAATGATCCTCTTGAAATAGCATCTGCAGAATTTTCTTTGCTGCTTACATGTGACCAGTCGTAAATGTTTGTGTTAGTTTGAATTTCTGCCACCCTGTTTGCCACGAAAGTTTTCCATGTTTGTGGCGTAGCTGCTATCCAACTAAGAACTATGGTAGAATCTGTCCAATAATGAAATGAATTAATCTTAAATTTTATACACTTTTTCAGTTTAACAACTAACTGTGACAGTAAAACTGCTGCACATAACTCGAGCCTAGGCAATGAAATCGACTTAATTGGGGCGACTCGCCCTTTTGAACATAAAAGTTGCGCAGAATGTTGATTTCCCTGTAAGTTTGTACTTCTTAAATAAATACAGGCTTCG